ATGTGTGACACTGGCAGTCCTCTGCCTTTTATCATGCTGATCAGCTTCTTTCTTGTCTTATCCAATCGTCCAGTGCTGTGTCTGCCACACAGGGGACTGTTGGTCCATCAGTTAAGGCAACACTAAGAGCCAGTATTTGTGGGCTCTCCTACCTTCTGTGGTTCTTGTAACTTGCGCGGTAGTCAACTTTTTAAACTAGTAAATTCTAACTCTGTGCCCAGGTAGCAAAATGGTCAGTTTATACCTCTTCCCTAGGAATCTCATCAAGCTTTACAGAGAAATATATATGCCTCAGCTCCTGGTGAACTAGAAACTACATCAAGGAAATGAAAGCGTCTCCCGTTTGTCACCCTCTTCTCCTGCAATTCATGGAGTAACTGCTTAGTTTCAGCTGGAACAGTGGAGTTTCTCAAACTTCGCGCATATAAGAATCACCTGAATTACTTGTTAAAAAAGTTCTGAGCTTTATCCCAGCCCTGCTTGATCTGAAGCTCTTGCAGAGGAGTCTTAAAGCTGTATTGCTTAGTTTTTGAAGCTGTGTTTTTGACAAACACCCTCCAACCCAGGTCTTTTATTCTCATCAGAACAGTAAGAAAAAGTGTGATACCTCATTTCACACAGAAAGGTTCTGAGCTTCAGACTAAGAAAGTAATTGTTGGAGGGTGGAAGGGAGGTAGATTTTTCTAAAAAAATTTCTCCATGTTTAAATATTGGCACTTGATAAAAAAAGAAACACAACTAAACATTGTGCAAGCCAAATTTTTCTTGGCTACCAGTTGCCAATCTCACATGAGAACTTTATAAACCAGTTTCATCATTTTCTTCTCTCACAGTGGTGATAGCACACTGACTCTACTGTTTTAAGTCATTTTTACATGGCTTTTTATCACTTAATGAGAAAAAGACTGGCTTGCAGGGTCCTTCATGATCTTCCCACCTTTCTCACTTCGCCACCTCTTTTTTGAGAACATGGATTCTCGCGCCAGCCTGCCCCAGTTGGCATCCTGGATTTGCTCCTTACTATGTAACTCTGGGCAAATTATTCTATATGCATCAGTTTCTTCCCCTCCTAAATGGAGACAATATTAGTACCTATTTCACAGGGTTGTCATGAATCCTAATGGGTTACTATAAGATGCTGAAAACATTTTCAGCATGTGAAAAACCCCATAAATGCTGGGTTGCCCCCAAAAGCTAGTCCCAAATACGCCTCAAATTTTTATCCTAGAGAACTGCAGTTAGCCCCTCCTGGGGCAAATACCCTTAACAGTTCCTGGAAGATCTCTTCATTCTTCAGAATCACTGGGCCTACTGGCAGCCCTTCCCTGGCCCTAGGAGTACTTAGGCCTTGAATGTAAACAATCTTTCATCACAGTTCACCTTGGACTGCAGGTGTCAGGCATCTCCACTAAATGATGCTTGTCCTTGAAGGTGGAGACCACGTTTTTTACTTTTGTAGCCCGCAAACTTTACACAATGCAGGTCTGTAGATTTTCAGTAAGGAGTGTTAAAGGAATGCATGCGCTCATATGATTTCCTTATTTGATTATAAATTTTTTAAGGACAAGTACTCCTATATGCTACATCTATGTATTCTCTGAAACACCTACCAGAATTTTATTTCATATTCAATGATAAAGTAGCTTGTGCTCTGAGAGACACAATGGTAGCCTCTGGTCAAAAAGCTTACAACGTTTTCCTACTTTCCACCACTATATGCCCTCCAGAGATTTCTACCTTTTTGAACTCCCATAGCAGTTCTCTGGACCTTATGTTACTGGATAGCAGTTCTCTGGACCTTATGTTACTGGATATGTTTTGCTTTGTATCTTTCGTTATACAAGTCTTACTATTTTTCTTAACTATGAATTCCAGAGTGTGTCTGATATTTTTTGTTGACTTCATTATAACCAGCACAGACCCTTGCCCAAAGTTAGTACTCATTCAATATTTCTCAGTGGTCTTCACAGTTTCTTGTACTTATCTAAGGACTATTAAAAAAAAAAATCAACTCAATTTGAGGGACACTTATCTGGTGTGATATGACACCATTGAGAGTTTTGTTCAGTTGAAGGAACACACCTCACTGCTTGCAGACTTTCACCACATATCAAAGAATAAAATTTAACTCATATAGTTGAAAAGTGAGGAAACAATGATTACACAAGGGTTACCGTAAGTCATCTCAAAACATGCTTTGGAAATGTTTCCAATTGACATTGTACAAACAGCTCTTTCCTAGAAATGACCCTTTTTTTCTTTATTTGGGAAATAACATGTATTATAGGAGATCAGCAATCTTCATGGGTTCTTTCATTATGGAAATAGAATTTATCAAAGGCCTTGGTTAATTGCAGGAAGGAGGAAGCACTCCTATTTATAACAATGAGAAGTTGTCAGTGGAAAAAAATAGGTATTTTCCACCTAAAACACACCTTAAGAAGACAAGGGGGTTTTGTTCTTGTAACACTTCCACCTACTTACATTAAATGTTGTTTAATGCTATAACTGAAGAAAATTAGCATTATTTAGAGGTAGCAGCTTCCAGGTAATTACACACTTGTTTACAATTAACTCAACTGTCTCATGATTAGATTTTTCAAAGCTGTGTTGATTATGTTGAATCAGGACATAACATCAGTTAGAGCTTGAAAACAATATCATCTCATGAATTTTTGAGATTTTTCTGGAACAAAACCATCCAAATAATGCATACTTCATATCGCAAAGCACTGTGAATTTCAGAGATTTGAAACTCCTTAAGATATATACACTGTACTGTTAAAAACAGCAAATCTCTCTGATGCCCTAAGTTCCCCTGCTGCTGTAACTTGAGTTTCAGTGAGAGACACACTATATTGAGCACTTACCATATGCCATGTAGATTGCATTCATTTCTGTATCATTGACTTAGTCAAGAAATATTAATTCCACACCTACTGCAAAAGGATGGGCTACAATTAGCAGCCATTATTTCCTACCTTCAGGGAACTTACAGTCTCCTAGGAGAAGGACCAACTCTGTACCAAGGATAATTTTACCTGTTTTACAGATGAGGAAAATATGATGCAGAGTGACTAATACAAGCTCCTTCCTGTGCTCTTCTGATCAAAGAAAGCTGCTTCTCTCCACTCTTCCTTCCTAGTTTTTAATCCAGTCACCTTTGCAGAGGGTGTTTAATCAAGTAGTCATGGACAAGAATTGAAAATCTTTGCTGTAATAGGAAGATGCAAATTCTCCTGTTTAAAATTCATTGCTCTCATTTGGCAATACAAAAAACAAATATTGAATACAAACTATGTATATTGTGAATTGGGCACAAGCATAAACAAGTCCTAAAATCCACATTTCTAGCATGTGTGGGAAAACAAAGATAATTGCAAGGTGAAGGAATTCTGGGTCTAAGTTATTCATAAGAAATGCAGAAACTTGGATCTTTTTTGTTACTATCAGTTGGTTTGGTTTCTGTCCTCTGATCTTCTACATTTTTCCTGATTGAATATAGTCATGACAAGGATGGGAGACAGATGGCAGGAGATTAATGGGCAGTATGGTTTGAGAAGTCAAGAAAAATCCTGTGGACTACTTACATTATGTATTGCCTCGGTAAATATTTTGGCTTTCTTTGGCTACACCTCCATTTAATTATTGCAGTTAATTATCAATGGCCTGTTCCAACTAAAAGAAAATTGTTTTGCGTCTGAAGCCTTTCATTTCTTTTTCTTTCTACCATTTCTCCCATCAGATATAATTTAACCAGACTCCTCAAAACCAAAGCAGAAATGTTCAGCTGGAAGGTATGCAGTCCTAGAAAGAGTATAAGGGCACAAATCTTTACCAGGCTACCTATCCCCTAAATATGGGTCTGCAAAATGCACAACCTGGGACTGTGAGTCACTTCCTAATTGTCCTTCATACCTACAGCCTCTTATCACAATAACCCTTCTTTCAGTCTCTGTCTTACCTTCGTAAAACACTGCCAACTGTCCAAAGTTAACAGAAGGAAGCCCACATGCCTAAGGGTGACACAGAATGTTCTTTCTAGTCTGATCCCCACCTTTTCAACCTTCTCTTTCTACACAAGAGGCACACACAGAATCACTCTTTGTTCCCTAAACAGGTTTTTGGTCTTTCAGGCCACCACACCTTTGCACAAAGTAGTGGCGATGCTAGCAATATCCTTTTCCTCTCTCTAGCTGCAGAAATGAGAATCATATTTTAAGATCCAAATAAAATGATCTCTCCCCAGTAAAAACCTCACTGGTCTTACAGGTAGCTGTCATCACTCTTCTCGGCTTTCATAGCATTTTGCATATAACCTTATTGTAAGATTAATACTTAACTGCAATAATTTACTAGTTTTTGCAAGTTCAGTTTCTTAACACTTTCATAACTGCAACCCCACTCCTCACAAATCACCTTTGTTTTTCTGACTTAGAATGTAGCATAGAGAAAGGCATCAGTAAAATGTCTATTCAATAGCAAAAAAATAAAATTATGCCATGTTGACTTCAAATGATTATAAGTGGGAAATGTACATACATATTTATGTGTAGACACATATACCATTATAGGATTTCAGAGGGTTTTGATTTTTCCATATGAAGTGTTTAAAGTCCAGTTAAAAGAAACAAATACACATGAAGAAATGATGCAATTGTTCCATACCAGTTTATTGTAGGTATTGTGTTTCAAAAAATTTATAGCATAAATAACCTTTCATGTCATAAAATAACTTAGTACAATTTATAATAAAACTTTGAGAATTTAACATCTCATCAAAATACAATAAAATATGGTTTTAAAATATGATTAACCCTTTCTGCTTTTCTTTTGCTTGAGGGCATATAAACCAAAAGTACCCAACTACGGCCAAACATTTAAACTTTAACAAAGCATATTTGGTTTATTTTAATGTAACTCAACCATCCTAATTTAATACATAGTTTGTTGTCCTTCCTGTGTGGTTCTTTGTAATTTTTGTTCTTTTGACTTGTATTTGTTTCAACACAGCTTCCTTCTTCATTTTCAACTCTTTCCATCTGCAAAGTCATCTTATCTCCGGGCCCCCAGAACATGTAGTTGAACTCACTCAGCCCCTTGACATCAGTTTCTGTAATCCTTGCATCAGTGTAGGGAGTAACTGCTTGAGTAACTACAAAGGTATTTCAAAACTTCAGTGCAATTTGGTTCAGTTATTTTCATTCAGATGCCATCACCGTTCAGGGAGATTAATCACTGGAACCCACTGATCCATGTAGCGACTTTCCCGGCAAAAACAAATAAGTTGACTTAAGGCAGGATCTTTCCATTGTGATGAATGTGGATTCTGGTAACAAAATTAGAAAGAATTTACTGAAAAGAAAAAACTCAGCATTTGCTAAGAATTACACCACTCTTGAGGAGAAGATACTTGAACATTTTATACTTTGGCTGTGTGAGGTGGAGACAATCACGAAAAATAAAAATTTATTTGAGGTTAACTGGGTGCTCTGCAAAATCATTCTAATTCTTCTAAAAATGTACTATGCAAAGTCTGAACACAGGCAATCCACTGAACCATATGCATATGTTTGCATGATAACAGTAATCTGTTTTACATGAGTATCATTCACAGGTTTGTCCTACCAAACTTGCACCCTGGCGGAGACCTGAGCAAAACAATTTGGAGAAATATTTCCAAGTTGTGTATAAAAAGCTGAGAGCTGCATGGCAGTTAGCTAGAATTGCCACCTGTTTCCCTCCCAAAAGACAGAGTAGTATGTTTTAGGAGTAGCAAAATAACTATGCTGCCACCTAACTAGACCAGTCAAAGAGTAGTAAAATGTAAAAACCAAAGCTCTCACATTTCTGAAAATCAAGTCACTTAGCTACCAGACGCTTTTATCAGGAAAAAAGGTCCATTAAAAAAGTGCAAGATTGCAAAGAAAAAATTTCCACTCTATCCTCTTAATGTATTTCTAGGGAATTAATAAGGTCTGTCTCCTACACCATTTCTATTTTTAGCTTTGACTGGCAGAGAATGAAGCTGACTCCTTAATGAGGGTGAGCCAGGAATTTATTTGGCTTTATCTAATCTGCCCTGCTAAAGGAATTAGTCACAGGAGGTAGTGCAGATGTAGGTAGGGAGTAGCTGGGCTGACAGTGCTGACTCACAAGGATCCCTTCCGCTGCTGGCAGCCTCCAACGTGCTTAGACATGTTCTGTACCAGAGAAAATCCCGATGATGAAACTAACACATCTCGGCTGAAAGTCCAGCCACACTCTCCAGGTTGCCATGCTCTTGACCCCCGCCTGTTCTAGATTCTAGATCTGCAGGAAGACAACCTGGCCGGTGCGCACTTCCTTGCAGAGCTCTAACCCCGAGGGCCAGCAGTCCCGATCTCTTACCGTCACCAGCACGCAATGCAGATCCGGGGGCTGCTGGGCGCCCTCGTCGGGCTCCAGGAGCAGGAGCTCCGCCAGGCGGCCCGGGTTGCTGACGCGCAGGATGTTAATGTCGTTCTCGCAGCAGAACGCCTGGATCAGGGTGAAGTGGATCTGCAAAGCCACGTCCCTGTCGTCGTCCTCGTCGGCCGCCAGCAGGCACAGCACCACGTTGTCGGGGTCGCTGCGGGCAGCAGGCGGAGCGGTGAGCGCAGCGGTGGCCCTCGCCACGGGGGGCGCCCCCCAAGTCCCAGGGATCGCGCCCCGGTGCGCCCACTCCCCGCCAGGCAGGCAAACAGCCACCCCACCCCGTAGATGCGAGGCGGCAGGGACCGCGCGGCGGGTTAAGGGGCGACCCACCCACCGGGCTGGGGCGCGCAGAGGTGCACGCGGGGGACCCACTTACACGTTGAGCAGCTTGGCCGCCTCGTACACCCCGACGGTGATGGTGCGCTGACTCAGGGCTTTGCTGAGCACTTCCTCGAGGGCATCCCCCACCTTATCCATCCTGCACGCGGGCGGGACAAGGGGGGGGTCCGTCAGCCTGGACCTTCTCCCTAGGGACCCCCGCCGCCCCGCGCCCCGCCCCGCGACCCTCCCTGGCGCATGCACGCGCCGCCGCGCGCCTCGGCCCGCCTGCAAACCCCGGGGTGCGTCCGCCCCGGACCGTCACCCCCCATGACCCTTCGCACGCTCAGAGCCGAGCGTCCCGCGGGGAGACCCAGGAGTGTCACCCGCCGCCCTCCCCTCAGGGCACGGCACGTCCCTGGCGCTGGGCGCAGCAGCCGGAGGTGCCCAGCCGCGGGGGCCGGACGGGCAGGGACGGCCGCTTCTGCCCTCGCCAAGGCCCGGAGAGGCTCGGTCAGGTGCGGGGCGCGCGCTCCGTCCCCCCGCGCCGCCGGGGGCCTGCCCCAAGGAGAAGGGCGGGAGGCGCCCTCTGCAAACTTGGAACGGCTCGCCCCCCTGCACGCCTTCCACAGCCCGCAGAGGCTTACAGCGGCGGCACTTGAGGGAGAGGCGCCGGCGCACTCACCTTTCGGTCTTCTGCTCGCCAGTCGCGAATTCCTCCAAAGTCATATTGCAACTGCAGAGCCCCCACAGAGAGAGCGGCGTGCGGGCTGCTCCTGCCACCGCGGCGCGCGGGCGCCCGCTCTCTGCGCTCCCTCAGGCTTCACTTCAGCGCCCGCGCCGCGCCGACCGGCCCTCCCCGCGCTCGCTCGCCCGCCCGCTCCCGGCCCCGAGCCGCGCACCCGCCCAGACGCGCACTCGGCAGCTGCCTCACAGCCACTGAAGGACAAAGGCCTGGCTGGCGAGAGTTATCCTGCCTCGCCTAGCCAACCACCGCCCGCCTCATTTGCATGCGTGCAGCCATTGGCTATGCAAATAAGCCTGGGCCGACAATTTGACCCCAGCTCCTAGAACTGGGCGGGGAGGAGCGGAAGGGGGCGGAGCACACGGAAGGGATGCCTAAGGGGCGGAGGCGGTGCGGGGCTCCGGGAGGGCCAGGTCCCAAGCGCAGTACTTATCCTGTTGGGCCGGTCCAGAGCAGAGGAGGTGTTTTCTGTGCAGGCTGCCAAATGTTTTTCTAGTTGGTGCACATTTTTTTATAGTCGTTTCATGTCTTTTGTTTTTAGGGGTTGCTATTAAAATCTATTTCCAGGGTTAATGCACCAAAGTCTAGTAATTATTAGTAAGCAGGTTACATAAAAACAGTGTGTCCAGACCTCTGGGGCAAAGTTTACCTCAGAAGTGTTGTTTATGTAAGTTTAAGCAAAGCTGCTTATTAGTAGTAGTAGTATTTCGGTGCCTTGATGGCTGGTTTGATTTATTTTTGGAAGGTTGCAAGGGTTGGAGGCTCAAAAAAGAAAAATCAACACATTTGTGTTTGTTAGTGGCAGGGAACCAAGTTGGGATTTTTTCCACAGAAAGCAAAAAAGCTTCCCACCTGCCTAATGCAACTCTGAAAAACTGCGTTCATGAGGAGCTGATGACGCCTTGTGTGTATCCTAGCCTTAGCACCCAAATTCACCTTTCTCAGGGAGCCTTTCCTGAAGGAAGATGCCTGTGCACCCTCAGCTGCTAAGAGACAAATGTGTGACACCCACACTCGCCACAAGTCTAAATTCAAAATGCTCTCAATATGCCCTAAGCTTTCTTTCATAAGGCAAGTATGTCACTACCTTTCACAGAGAGCCTATGATCTCACTAAATTATTGATGTTAGATGCTGAATCATGAAGCTGAAGCTATAGGACCTTTTAGTCATATGCTAAAATTTCACCTTTGAGATAATGGCCACCTGTGGCTGGAAAGCAAGCAGTAGTTACATATTTTTAAAAAGCAAACTTTAATGTGTATACTTTCACTGAATAAGCTGAAAGTTCTTCCCTTATTTTTAACGAGTTTATGCAATAAATGCAAAAACATTCCTGAAACATACTGAAGTCACCAAAATGTTTTGAATACCCCACATGTTGGCATTCAAAACAGTGTTTGCATTATTAAGGTCACCATAGAGCTAAAGTGAATTTTTGCAGAAGTACATGGGAGTTTCTGCAACTGCATGTTTCCATCATTCTAGACAAAATATTCTCTAGCTCTCTTGATCTTAATTTAGATGAATTAAGTGCCATTTTGCACTTAATCCATAGCTGCTTTGTTAGCAAGAGGCTATGTTTGAGTAAAGGAACCATGGTGGCCAATGCATAATTTACCCAAGGGTGTTTGTGCATTTCATATCTATGCCTTAAATCTTAATATGTGATAGCTTATTAAAGAATTCTTAAAATTGACATTTAGGTAGATACTGAGGCACTTTCAGTTTTGCAAAAAAAAAAAAAAACCTAAATTACACAATCTGGCTTGACTCATCATTTGAACATTTTTGAACTCTTCCATAGAACTCCAAGGTTCCATCCACTAGGCATTTCTTAGAGCTTCCTTGGAAGAAAGTGTGAGCACAAGAAACTTACAAAAAATTAGGGAATGGTGAGTTTCTTGACAGCAAGAACTGTTACTTCATCAACTTGGTATTCTCAGCACCTAGTGCAATTACTGCATTTAGTAGAAGCACAGTCAATGTGTGTTGAATTGAATAAAATCTGAAAGTTAAAAAAGATCTCAGAATCCAGCAATCCTGGGCATTGCATGAATTTTCTTTTTTTCTTTTTTAAAGATTTATTTATTTTTATACAAGAGCTGGGGTACAGGCCTGAGGCACAGGAGGGTGAGAGGATCCACCAGAGAAAGAGCAGGAAGCAGAACAGGCAGATCTACTGAAATGCACTGCTGAGGGGAGTAGCAGGCGCGACAGGAGAGGTCTGCGTGCCATGTGGCATTCTCGCCCGTTGGTCGGGATCAAACCTACACTGCGGAGGCTGCAGACAGCTTCACGGCGCTGCACTCAACCCACTGCACCACCAGGAAGGCCCTGCATGAATTTTCTTTATGATATTTCACATTTAACTTTACTTCAAAAAACTTCTTTGGGGCCTCCCTGGTGGTGCAGGGGTTAAAGAGCGCTATCAAGCTATCACCAGCCACTGCAGCATGAGTTCCATCCCCAGCAAGTCAGGGAGCAACCCACATGGCGCAGCAGACCTCTCCTGTCTCTCCCGCTGCTCCCCTCAGTAGTGTATTTCAATAGATCTGACTGTTCTGCTCCCCACTCTGTCTCTGGTGAATCCTCACCCACCCCACCTCTGACTAACACCCCAGTTCTTGTATGCATAAATAAATAAATCTTAAAAAAAAAAACTTCTTCGATGGTCTACTATATAACAAGAACTATACATTCCTGGTCTTTTGTGTTTAAAGTGCTTACTTACCATCTAATTGGAATGTCTATGCCTGAACTAGACTTAGGGACAGAACAGTATGCACTGTCATCAGTTAGCTATGCTGAAAGTCCCATGACTTTAGTCATCTGAATGGAAATGGCAGGAGAGTAGAACCCAAGCATTGTTTATGCAGGTTGTAAAGGGCCATTGCCCTAATATTGACCTAATCCAGTCACTATATGCAGTAAAAATGTGGTATAAAAATAAAAATGGTTACTTCTTAATCCCTCACTCAAACACTATCCTTCACACTATACTTGGCCTCACAGGAAAGTGATTTGTTCAAGTGTTGTGGGACTGTCCTTTGTGAGAGAAGCCTAGCCTTCCAGTATTCAAAAATACTCATTTGTCATACTTTCTGACTCAGATATGTTACATCATTTTGCCTCACTGCTGAGTCTACCTAGAATGTTTCATCAGTGATTATCCTCAGAATTGGTCCTCATAGCTGGAAGTTGAAGCTGCATTTAGCTACAATTGCATTGCAGTTACACATTAGGATGATCATAGATGATTTATTTATAAATACTTATTAGTTCTGAGGGAACTTGGTATACAGTGATAGATCATATCTATTTCTGTAGACTAGTACAGAATAATTATGTATGTTTATGTGTACATATACACAATTTTTTTAAAGATTTATTTATTTATGCATATAAGAGCTGGGGTACAGGCCAGAGGTGTAGGGGGGTGAGAGGATTCACCAGAGACAGAGTGGGGAACAGAATAGGCAGATTGACCGGAGTACACTGCTGAGGGGAGCAGCAGGTGAGTCAGGAGAGGTCTGCTGTGCCATGTGGGTTGGTCCCTGGCGGGCCGGGGGATCGAACTCGTGCTGCAAGCTTGTGGACAGCTTCATAGGTTGTGTCTTAACCCCTTGCACCACCAGGGAGGCCCTACACACATATTTTTTAAATAACTTCAGTATGTGAGATCATTTTTAAAATTACCCAGGTAACCCCAAACACTTCAACTGGACAAGACTAGAATGACCTTGCAGTAATATTTGTAAGGATGCCAAATGTTTGTATTTGGAAATCAGATGGAAATATGTACTCAAGAATTGTTTATTTTAGCTACTACTACCTAATGAATTTTAGGAGACATTTGATACTTTTCTCACTTTTATCAAATATATCCCTATCACTGGTTCTATAGTACACTGTAGTTCTATAGTATAATATAAATTTTCTTTCCTTCAAACATTAGGCAATCCTTTAGCATCTGAAAGAAATATGATGCTGATTATTTCAATATGAGAGAGATCATTGATCCCATTAAAGAAGATCCATTAGACTATGACATATGTATATAGAATTGTTTATATTTTATCTTATAGTTTAAAATCATAAGGTTCCTGGTGTATTTTGTATGTTTGTATGTTTCTAAAGGCAGGCCTGGAATTTCCCTCATTTTTCTCCCATAGAAGATTGTTCTGACAAGATTTACTGCCGCCTAAAAATGTTATTTCTTAGGATTAATACTATCATTTGAATTTCACATGAATATTTAGTTTCTTGGGCCATCACTGTGCTAGGCAAATTCTAAGATGATCTCAATGATCTTTACTAGTGTAAGCTTTTTAGAAATCTCTTCCTTTGAATGTGGGCAAAATCAGTGACTTATTAACCAATAGAAAATGACAATGGTGTTGGGCTATCACACCCAGTACTATATTCTATGGCAAAGGAGAAAGGACTCTGGAGATGTTATTAAGGTCCTCAATCAGTTGACTTGAAGTTATTCGAAGGGGAGATTGTGCAGGAGGCAAGTCATTCAGAAGAGGACTTGGGCCTCCTCTGAAGAGAGAATAAGGCATCCAGAGACTCTCTCCTATTACTAGTTTGGAAGAAATAAGTTTCCATGAGTTCTGTATCTGCAAGGAAATGAATTTTGCCAGCAACCTGAGGGGTTTGAAATGGATCCTTCTCTCTTTGAGCCTTTAGATGAGAATGCAACCTAGCCAACACTGATTTTAGCCTTTGGAGAACCTGAGAACCCAACTAAGCCTGGAATTTGGACCTGCAGAAATTGTGAGATAATAAATGAGTGTTTTTAAACCACTATGTTTGTGGTAATTTGTTACGTTGCGTCAAAACCTAAAACAGGGCTTCCCTGGTGGCACAGGGGTTAAAAACAGTGCTATCAAGCTATGGACAACCACTTCAGCACGAGTTCGATCCCCAGCCAGCCAGGGAGCAACCCACATGGCTCAGAGACCTCTCCTGCCTTGCCCACTGCTCCCTCAGCAGTATATTTCAGTGGATCCTCCTGTTCTACTTCACACTCTGTCTCCGGTGAATCCTCTCACCCCCCGCGTCTCTGGCTTACACCCCAGTTCTTGTATGCATAAATAAATAAATCTTAAAAAAAGAAACCTAAAACAA